GAAACTGAAAATCATTTAAGGAAATTTGAAATTAGTTGAAAAAAAATTAGGTTCTCATAAATACGAATTTAATGTTTTAGAATTTGGAATGCAACGTGGAGTTAAACCTAAAAAAAGTTGAATATACCGATTTTTATAAAATTCAGTAGGTAGGAAAAAATTAAGAAGGCAATTAGTCAGAGAGAAGTTTTTCTTTCATCTGCCCTAAAGCATCTTTCCTAACTTAAATATTTTGAAGATCATTCATGATAACATCTATTATTATATGAATGAGAAAATTACTTCACTGTGATTGGCTGAGAGCGGGCCAATTTATCGCTAATTTTTAATTTACTTCGCAGTGCAAATTAACGCGCGCTTTCGTGACTAGTAGTTTCTAAGTCATACAAGAAATGAGTAATCGTAGGAAAGCTTGAGCAATTAATTATTTACACTACTCGAGATATATATTTGAAAGTTCTTTCAAATTGCACTTGCCTAAAGGCTCGTGCAATGTTGAGATAATTTTCAAATATCACTCATAGTATATAAATCCTTAGTTGCAATGGCATTCATACGATTACCTATACGTATAGGAGTTTGAGGGGATCTCAACGTCTTCAGTTCTAAATAAGACAACAGATTTCAATCTTGGGGGCGTATTTAAATTCGTCATATGGTTGCCATGGTAACAGATTTTCAGAAAAAATATGATGCAATGAATCTATGATGTTTCTTTTATTTCTGTGGTGAATTTCATTGTGGTGCGATGAACTAAACGGTATTTAAAAAGAATTTGTAAAAACACGTCTGAAAAAAATGAAAACTATGGAATTCAATGTAAGCTGTGTAGAAAATACAGTAATTCCTTTTTGCATTAATTTCAGTATCTTGTAGATTAACAAATTTATTTTAATTTGTCTTTTCTGTTTAGGGAGTATATATATAGTAATTTCAAGAGATGTTGAAGGTATTCTAGTTAATTCTTGGTGAGTGGATTCGTTTGGCTTGTGGAGTTTTTCAAAAAGGATTTTTAGAGCGTTGTATTTGTTTGTATACTTTTGCTTCCTTCGTATCCGATACATGTCCTCATAACAATTAACCGATTTAGTGGTATACAAATACTCCATAATTTGACCACAAGAATTAACAAGCTAGTCAATCTTCTTTCATCTTTTATTATTTACATAACTTTGCAAATATTGCGCTTTAATTTGGCTACGGTTGGCTTCTTCCCTAGCTAACATTTCATCAAATGGTTCATAACACTTTTCTAAGTTTTCGCTATTCATCCCTATATTCATATAAAAAAGAAAAAGTATTAAACTGTTTTACATATTCATCTATGCTGATTTCTCACTTCCATAAACATCCTCAAGACTGACAGAAAATTTCGCAAGCCTCTCGTTATTTATTATTGTCAAAACAGGCTTATGCATCAGTCTATTTACCTCATAAAAATGTCACTTACACCAATGCAACGGCAAAT